CAAAAAAAAAGACATTATTTCTAAGAACATAAGTACATGTTGGTATTGAACATCCCCTCTCTAAGGCGACCGATCGCAAAGAAAAATCTGGAACTCTGGCTATGGTTGCCTTAGAGAGATTCGTTTCATGAGGCAACTCCCCTAAGGCATCCGCTTTTAAAAGATAAAAATATTGTTGAGAACATTAAGTATATATTAGTATATACTTATTATATTGTATATATATTGGTATTGAGCATCACCTCTTTAAGGCGACCACCCGCAAAGAAAATTTTTGATGTGTAGCTGGTGGTCTTAGAGAGGCCTCATTGTGTGTGGGTGTATATATGTAAGTACCGATTACTGTTATTGTTTATGATAAAAGCCTATATAGTAAACCTATCCTATGACGACGACCTACGTTTCCAGGTTACATCGACGGTCTTAAAGAGGTCATATGTAATGCTCATGTTTATTCTAAGAAATACTCATCATCTCAGGGAAGACGAAGATGAGAGGGCTCACTGTATGTTTTTTTTTTAAATTTTAAACGTTCCTATTGGTTACAAAACTGAGATAACCTTAATTTTAACAGTATCAAATAAATAAATAAAATAAAAATAAGTTCTAAGGTATTTCTCCCGCCTTCCTAGCATGCCTTCGTGGTGTGGTGGTTTGAACGCTGGGCGCGTATTCCAGAGGTTTGCGGTTCGATTCCCGGCGAAGGCGTTTGCTCATTTTTCATCTTGCCTGCTTCCAAAAAAGTACCTAATGTTTCTACAAAGCAAATAAATAATTTACAATAATCACTAGACAAAAAGAATACCAATAAATTTTGGTTTACTGATACCAGTACTAATTTTATTGTTTACAAGAGGTCTATTGACGTCAGTTAGAAAGTTCCTAAAAACTCATATAAACCAACAGAAGATTTATTTGGTATCCATTTTGAGATTATAATGATATAGTAACAAAACTAGTAAAGTCAATATAAACCAATCCGAATTAGCAGAAAATTCTGGCATTGATGTTGGTTGTATGGGTGATAGCTGATATCAGTAAGAAAAAAACCACAGAGATCAATATAATTCAGTAAAAGTCAGTAGAAACCAACACAACTCTGCGGGTATCAGTAGATAGTTTTACTCCTTTCTGTGGGACATTTTGATACCTATAAGAAAACTCAGTAAAGAGCAATAGAAACCAGTTACAGTCAGTAGAAAACCGTAGAATTTTATGGGTACCTATACAAAGTTTTACTGGTTTCTATTCAGCATTTTGCATGGGATTCACTTGCTATTGAGTGGCTAGCACCACTGTCGGCGAAGGCAGTACCCAGAAACAGATATAATACTATTTCGGAATACAGCAGTCCGGGTGGAAAAAAAAACATGATCGGATTTGTACAGTACCAAAATTAGATGAATTTGAAGTCTTTTGGGGATTGCAAGTCCGAACACTTAAGACTTGATAAAATCCAGTCTTTCCGTACCCATAGCATGTTAAAGAACGTCGATGTAGCTGTCAGTGCTGCTCACCATGATTTGGCAAGGTTTTACTAGTTCTCCGTACATCATTTGTTTGATTTTCTACTCTGATTTTGGATGGATTTGTCACTTTGAAATAACAGTTTCGCCTTACAGGGGGTTGATTTTTGTAGTTCTCATTTTTAACAAGTATAGCTTCGTAATCATCCAATTTCTGTACTAATTCAGATGAACTCTTCATTTTTCCCCAAGTGTCAATAAAATGCTCCTTATCATCATTGCTGAATTTTCTTTTAAGCTTATCCATAAGTACCAAGTCTTTAAGTGATTCAGTGACTGTAACATCGAGGTTATGTTGCCACTTTTCCAGATAACTGCTTAATTCGTTAGCTGTTTCCATAAAGTTCCAGGCTGTCTCTGGTGCGTGGTAAGTTTGATTCGAAATTATTCAGAATTTAATTTGAATCTTAGAAGCAGAATCTTCTTAACGTACGAATGCTCTTCAAATTTGTCCTTCGGTTTTCTTAAAATAATTTTTGAAATGTCTATAAGAAGAATAGGCAGGAGAGGAGTGATATAACCTATTTTTTTACACTAACTTTCTCACATTGTCTTTCAAAAATTTGTAAGTAGGCTGCAATGTCCGCAGTTTCTGCAAACCTAGGAATTAGGTGTTGAATATTGGTTCAATAATTGCATTTGAAGCAAAATGGTTAGAGTTCGAGCCAACAGCTGCCAAGTTTAATTTTAAACGCACTAACTCTGACAACAGGTTTTGTTCCTTTCTTCAATGTTCTTGGAGATCTTTGCTTTCACTTTTGTTTTGTTGTTTAGTTTTGATTAAAGTTTCAAGAAGATTCTTGGTGAAAGCTTCATCTAAGTGTCAAATTTGACGATAAGATCAAATCGTAAGTGTCTATCACTCGCATGGTATCGTTTACTTCCAAACCCAATGCTGTAACCAGAGTTCTTAAATCTACTTTTTGCGTTTTAGCATGGTAAGCTATAATTAGACTAGTGGCCGGGGGGGGACTTATACCATTGCTAAACAACATTTATAAATGTAAACAATGTTACTCTCAGAGTTATAGTTTAAACTGTTGACAGAAAATTAAACTTTATCATATCTTAACTTTATAAATATCATAAAATAACCTTATAAAATACCCTTATTGTATCCAGAAAATTAGTAGTCACGTATAATAATTTACTCAAATATTCGTGTACTACTTATCAAAACATTAAAAAGTCTTATCAAAAGCTTTCATTTAAACTGAATTATTTTAATTTTAATCTTAACCAAAACATTAAGCAGTACTCACAACACTCACTCTTTCACTTCAGTTAAACATTATTTTATTCATAATTATTTTCTTTCATTTGAAGAAGTATATTTCAAAACATTCATTAAAGCAAATAAAGCAGTGGTATTTTATTAATGTACACAATAAACATTCTCTCAAAATGTTCTTCAAATCAATATATCAACAAATTCAGTATATTTATTTTACTTAGATTGCAACACTTATTCAATATTCAAAAGAAATGAAAGGAAACCTATAAAATGTAAACAAAAAGATTCGACGTCAACACGTCATGAATGTTGTAGTATTGAATTCAGGGGGAGGGGAAGAAAACTGTCTCTTACTTTGACTGAGAATTCGATGCTAATAAATTCTAATCAACAATATCAGTGAATCTATTCAAAATGTTATCATTAAAATATGCTTTCAGTTTGCTACCAGAAGTCATAATTTAATTTAGTATGCACATAAAACTATTTTAGAATAACAAATTAATACAAGTTTAGAAGTATGAGAATCGGAACTATTAAATTTTAGTCAGCAATATAACTGAATCTATAAATCTGGTTTCAGTGAGGAATTTGAATTTGCCCTAAAACGCAGAGTATAACAAATAACCAGTTTAAAAAGATTTTGATCTCAAATTGAACAATAATGTAAAAGAAACTTATATTTAATGGTCTTATGAAAGTTGTTGAATTAGACTTCCATGTTCCATTTGGTTTCAAAAATTATTTTGTCCAGCACTCCACACCTGAGAAAGGAAATTGAGCCGATCTCCAGCAACCAAAACTTAAGTTTGGGATTTACGGGTTTTTAAAACCAAACCGAAGTTCTCAACATTTCGTTTAACGCTATTTTGTAAACGGAAATTCTAAACATTTCTCTGGACGCCATTTTTTAACTATTTTTCTATAAACATAAACACCGGCTAGCTTTAAAAGGATTTATTAACAGAGTACAAGAACAGTTACAAGGAAAATATACTTCAGAACAGAACATAACACTAAAACAAAACAACATTCAGGAGTAACATTTAAAATTAGAGTTAGAATTACGGAGACATAATAAGCGTTCTATAATAATAATAGCGTTCTCTTTGCTACTAGATAGTGTTCGATAAAATAGTTCGGTTACAGTCAGATAGCTCTGTTACAAAGGAACTTAAGTTGCTTAAAATTACTACCCTCTCTTCCCTAGCACATGATAATGAATGCTTTAAATTTAAAACTTGGTCTCTCACCTTGTAATTAATTCTCGCCTTTTTCTGTCGTAATATAAATTTTGCCTTTCCCTTCCCATGTCTGAATTTCTTATAGCTTCATCTATTATTTTCTGTATATCTGCCAAATTAAAATCTGGTGCTCTCTTTTGCACAAAGAATAATTTATCTAGCGAAATAATTCATTTTCAGACTAAGAAACAATTCTTTTAAAGTCTTCCCTGTCGTTTCAAATTTGACAGACCTCAAAGCAAATGCTAACTCATTGATCACGCTATCCCAGCACTTATGATAGTTTTTCACATAGCAATGTATATAATTTTAATTATGCTCTTACTGATCCGCTTCGCTATGTTTGGCTGCGGCTGATAAGGCAGTATTTTTAAATGACGTATATCAATCCCTGCACATAATCCCTCAAATATTTGACTAATAAACTATTTCCCATTATCCGAAATTACTTTAGCGGAGCTGCGTACTTTAAAATATATTTGTTTAAGAGAGAATCTGGAACTATTTTAGCCGAAGCTCTTCTCAGAGGGACTATTTCTACCCATTTAGAGAAATGATCTACAATAATAAGTACAAACCTATTTTTACTGATTTCACCACGTGAGTAGGGACCTAATAAGTCTATTGATTTCACTACGTGGGTAAGAACCTAATAAGTCTATTCCGACTAATTCATTTGGAAACATAGCTTTTATATTATTTAGATACACAGCCGGGCTATAATTAACATCGTTATTTAGCTGAGAAGTGTGGTGCGACCTGACACTCTCATTTACAAGCTTTTGCAATTGCGAAAAATATACCGCCTTGCGAACTCATTGCACTGTTTTCCTTATTTCTTGGTGTCCAGAAATGGGTGAATCATGCAATTCGTGTGGAATGTTCAAGGAAACCTTTATTTAAATTTCATGTTTTTTTAGGAATACGTTTATTAAGTTTATTTAAATTTCATATTTAAGTCTTCATACACAATGATGTTATTCTGGTTTGTTTCAGGGTTGCAATAGCCCACTAGTGGTGAAATTCGCTGACACGCAGAAAGACAAGGACCAAAAAAGACACTACCAGTTAATGGCAAATCTTATGAATATGGCAAATTTAGCGAATTTAGGAGCTGTTGGTCCTCAATACCTAACGGTAAGTGATGCAAGTGTAATATACATTCATTAAAAAATTTTTCAGTTTCAGTTTTGCTAACCGAAGATACTTTCGAGCGAGGCATTCAAAAGCAAGGTCCAATTAACGTACGTTACATATGAGGAAGACCACGACAAATTCGTCCAGCATTTGATTGCACTGATGAAATGACCTGGTTGCATGAGAATTTATTGGCTGTCCTCGTGTGCAGAATAATATAACGAGCAGTTTCTCTTAGAAAGCTTTCCATAAAGATTTCTTATCTGAAAAATTAATTTCACTTACTTTGTTATAACATTTTACTGATGTATCGCTGATAATCGAACGAGACGAAAACAGAGACAAAAGATGGACAAAAACAGTATTTCATGATCGCTTTATACCTGATGGAAACTAGCAAGAATAATAACAGGATTCTTCGCGGGTAAAAGATACAAAAGTATATAAATATCAAGATCAATTATATTGTAATCAAGATCTAATATTTAGGAAATATCAAGAATACTAATAAATATCAAGATCAATTATATTAATATCAGGATCTAATATTTAGGAAATATCAAGAATAATAATAAATAGCAAGATCTAATATTTCAGGAAATGTCCAAAATAATAATAATATCAAGATCAATTATATTAATATCAAGATCTAATATTTAGGAAATATCAAAATATCATTAAACACTACCAGTCCTGATGGAAATGTTGGCACGATATGTAGATATTATAGTTTGAAACCTTTTTTATCAGCTTGTATATGGATGAAAAGAATTTTTATCACTTGCTCAAAAATGTATCGTCAGTTTGAAGACTTGAAGGTATAAAGTTAACATAATTTTATAATAAATAAAATGCGTAAATGTACAAGATTTCCATAGTGTAATTTTCATAATTTAAAATTATTTTCCATGCTACTTTTTACCTCTCTTTTTCACATTTTAAGCGAGTCTACCATTGTTACTTGAAATAAAGCATTTTTGTGCCCAAAATTGCAATGCCTACGTCTTCATTTTCTTATAATTTCTCAATAGTTTGAAAAAAAATTGAGGAAATATTTACATGTAACATAACATACAGATGCCTGTACATTCGTATTATCCGTAATTATAGCATTTCAAATACGAATTGCTTTGAAAAATATTTTCTCTCCTCTATGCCCTTTTTTGCCTCAGGTCTAATTGTCTTTTATTGCAGGCTGTATTCTAAATGATTCTTAATTTTTGAAAATCAAATTAACAGTTAGCTCTCTTTTGAAACTGCTAAGGAAGTCTTGTCGCAAATTTACGTCACATATAATCCCAGTCAAACTGATTTCGGAGCAGTTTTCGTGTTTGAGCTTAATTTAAGATTTAAATAATATTTAAAGTAATTTTTTCCTTTAATTTCATCCTCTGCCGACTATTAGCTCAGATTTCGTTATTCATTGTTAAAATACACTTTCCTTATTATACCATAACAAGCTGTGTTTAGGTATTTTTAAGCTTAGTTTATAATAAAGTGAAAAAAAATCGTTTTCAAAGATATAATTTTCTAAGTAACTTCTCTTTATATTCGTTTATCATGTTTATATAAACGTGTATTTTATTTATCCCTGTATACAGTAATCTAATTTAGCAACATTTCTTCAATTAAATAAAGTTTATGTAATGAAATATTTTCTGCATTTTTCTCATAATCTTAAATCTTTTGCAGGCTGCCTCACAACCAACTTTTAGTGCATTTGCCAATCTTCCTCAGGTTTCCAGTGGTAAAAACATTTGCTTTTATGGATATTTTTCTTGAATTAACTGATTTCAATTTGCATACTATCTCATATTTTTTGTCTATCTGTTGTTGCTTAATTTTATGGGCTTACTTTTTTATCATGAAAATAAAGAACATAGTGAATGAACCGACATATTTCTGGATAGAAATCACAAAATTTATTGGATAAAATAATTTGTTCAAAATACTCCATTTGAGTAATTTGACTTCTATTTGAAATAAACTATTTTCCTTGATTATTTCTGGTGCTTAAAATGTACTCTTAGGATGCATTGGCCTTTTATCCCTTCGTTTTGTTATTTTCTATATATGAACCTATTGATATGATTTTTCAACTCAAGTTTTAGGCCAAAATTAAATGTCCCGAAATGATTTCTTAAATCTCAGAGGTCAACTACTGTATAAACGGAGGCTGATAAAATCGTGCTGCGTAAACTGCTCAAATCTCGTTGCATCAATGAAAATCATTGAAATCGCTACCATTCTTATCTAAAATCTTCACTTTCAGCTGGTAATTGTAATTTTTTCAGTTTTCTTGTTCCTTTTAACTCTTCCTTAAACAACAGTTATCGACCTATAATGCTCATTTATGCTGTTACTACTTTCTGCTATCTCTTCTTGATAAAGATGTAGTAGCTTTCGAGAATTAAAATAAAGTATGTGCTTATAAAAATTGTTTCTTTAAAATTTGGTAATTTTGAGTTAACGTGCATGTGTTCAAATTGGCCTAGACACGCATAAATACGCGTAAACATCAGATGGAGTTCCAGACATAATCTGTGGGACTTAGTATTTATGAAATTTGCTCGCTAGTTCAACTTAAAAATTGGTGCTTGTAAATTTGCATTCTTATTAAATTGCAGTTTTACATAGTTTTATTTTTAGCAGACGTTTTAAAAACTTTTATTTCTGTAACGGAAAGTATTGTAAGAGCTTTGGAAAACACTTACAGTTTAAAAAAAATTAGAATTGTGCTTATATATATCTATTAAAAAATATGAATTCCATGTATGCTTATCGTTTCAATGCTAATCTTTTCAGGTCTTAGTTCCCTAAGTTTACAGCAGCAAATAGCTGCATTAGCTGCTGCCCAAGTGTCTGTGAATACCAGCAGTTCAGGTATATTTTTATTTTCATGTGAATGGCCATGCTTGACAATTTTCTTTTAAGGTTCTTATACTGAATGTAATTCTTGTTTGTTTCCAGTAATCAAACTGCATTTGTATCATTGAAGCATCTTTAATTGTTTATATATTAATCAGACGTTTAACAACAAACAGTAAAATATCTTTAACGTTAAAATACTTATGAATATGAAATATTCTTATTTTGATCTGTATATTTAAAACAATTTCTCTTATATATTTAGATAATCTGAAGCTTATTCATGCTTTGAAATTTTATTAGCTGTATAATTTAATTCTTTCTTTAAAAAATGGCTTCTAACAAACGTGAAGGTCTAATGTAATACGAAATGTACATTATTTTCGCATTGTAAAATTGCAGGCATTAATAAATTTGTTTCTGGTATTTCGTATTATATTTTGTATGAAATGGAAATAAAGAAGTGTCATCTTACAGCCGTAAAAGAGATTGGTATTTATAATTCTTCATTCATGTTTAAATAAAATGGTAAAATTGTTTTATGTATGTTCAGTTTAAATAAGTTTTTTGTTATCTTTGTAATTCCAACTTGTAATTATTCCAAGTTGTTTCATTTAATGGATATCATGTTTTAAATGTTGAAGTTTCTATTGAAATTCTTTAAAGTATATGCATGCCTGCTTTTGGTATTTCAATAAAGAGTGACTAATTTTGTTGAGTATTCACCGTTGGAGTCACATATTTCTATTTCTTTAATATGTCTAATAGTTCACTTTTTGTATAATATTTTCTCTTAATGTTGTTATGAGATTATTTAAAAGTTTTTTAAAAGTCATGAACTGAATGATAACTAGAGGCTTCATGTAATAATAACCTTTGTATGTAATATCGTTAATGCACGCACGAGTCTTCTGATTAAATTATTTACAGCAGTGGAAAACTGGTGAATATTATAAAAGGTATCAGTTTTCGTGTTGTAGTTGTATACATAACGTGTTATAATTGCGCATTTATTCAAGGCACTTTCTTCAAATAGATATCAGCTTCATTGGTTTCATCCATAGATAAGTACTACATTTATTTGACAAAGTTAATATTACGAATGCATGATGATGTTATTCTCAAGCATCTTTATTTATATCTATAGTATAAATGAAATTTTGGGCCATTTAAAAAAAGGTAAGCCTTTCAGACATCCATTATCTTCCTAATTTTTTGTGAGGATACCTAAAGAACTGTTCATGTTATTTTTAAGAAATAATATCGTGAAGAAGATCACTTTTTAAAGCTAGAAATTCACATCGATAAATTTTTGACACATTTCTAAAGGTCTAGTACGAAACTGCTATCATTCTGCCTGCAAAAGTAAGTAACTAAATATGCCTCATTGTTATTCATTGCAAGACTAAAAATACAGGCATGGATATGTTCATGCATATATTGCAAAATGCTGAACTAAAACTGTAAGAGCACTTTATATAAAGGTATTGATATGTATAATTATTAAGTAATTTTTTCCATAAACTCACTTTCAATTATGGCCTTTTATTTCATTTCATCCATGCTTCCTTCCTTATTTTCCCACCAAAAAAATTGTTATAAGTTCTAAAGAGAGAGAGAGAGAATTGAGATTTTTTGGTTAAAAGTGATGAAAGAATTTATTTCATTTCATCCAATCATCCTTCCTTATTTTCCCACCAAAAAAATTGTTATAAGTTCTAAAGAGAGAGTAAATTTGAGATTTTTCGGTTAAAGGTGATGAAAGAATTTGATTTTAAATCTTCATGAAATATACTGGAAATGGTCAGAGGAAAAGAATAACAGTTAATTGGATAATGTCTTTGTGTTGGAAGGAAGGGAACTTCGAGGGTTTTTATCTCCAGTTATTTAATATACAACAATCTGTTTTCATTCCCATTTGGAACCATATTGTTGTGCGTTCATTGTCAGAGTTTGTTAGATGTTACTACACAGCCTGTCTTCTCACCGGTGGTCAGTTAGTACAACATTTGGACATGCTTGTATCTCTCTCCACCTATCCTCAAATGAATATAAATTCTGCAGTTTAACCATTTTCCAAATAATTCTCAATAAGATTCAGCAAATGTATCCATAGCAATTGCAGATCAACATCCACTGTAATCGCAGATCCAAAAGGTAATAATCGCAGATTTACAGAAGACTTGTTTTATGACATATCTAGCTGTAAAAATTTTCTCGAACTAACCTTTTTGAGTGTCATGAGTCATAAGCAATTTCACTTGTTCACATTATAAATCTCCTCTTTTTTGTTAGTTTTGTTGTGGAATTTCTGTGGACAAATCGTTATGTATATTATTACACACATCAGACATTCTGACGTTACGGAAATGAACACAGTTACGAAAATTTATTTTTAGGTAATTAAAGAAATTTCTAATAAGAGTGCTCAGATTTGCTTTCGGCAACATAATATTACAAAATACTTTTATTTCGTTTCGAACCCATTTCGAAATATTATTTTTATTCTGTGTATTAATTTTGATTAAATGCCATCATTCCTTGTTTATTTGATATCTTGCAATGAAGGTGTACTTAACTGAATGTGTTACGTGTTTGGCCACAATATCATCGTCATATGTTCGGCTTTGCTGCTATTGAGAACATCTAAGTTTTCACTGTCCAATCATGCAGTTATTTCTATTATTTTTGTTAGTCTTTTGCATTATATTAAACAAGATATGTTTTATATTAAATATTTTATTACGAAATTTACATTGTTTTACATCAGCATAAAGATGGGATATTATTTTCATAGCTGTACAGCATCCACCAAAGGGAAAATTATTAGTTTTTGCGATCATTTAGTTTCGGATAGTAATTAGTTTACCATTAGTTTGAGAGAGAAAAAAGGGGGTCTACACTGATCAAAGCGGAATAATGAGTTTTGCGAATTTTTAATTTTTGCTAGTGATACTTTACCACTAATTATTATCTAAAATATCAAAATGCAGTTGTGCTTTTTTTATACCGGAATAGGTAAAGCAGATATTGAAATCTCTACCAACAACATGTTTGTTCTTATGGCTCTAATATCAAGAAGTGCTGTGCCACCGTATTAGTGTTTCGTATCTCAGATATTTAATTTATCAGTCAATAAGCACATGTTTATTATTGCTTTTACAATTCTGATGAATTTTGTATGCTTTTTATGCATTCCAAGTTCTTAAAACTGGTTTGATAACGGATGTATGAAAAGAGTCTGTATTAATTGATAAATACCATTCTTCTTTAATTCATAGTAATAACTTTCTGTAGAGGTCTATAATAAATGGAAAATAGAGCCGATTCTTTGAACTTCATAATCTGCATTATTAATAATTATACCCACGGAAATAATCACATAGTCATTAGGGCTGTTTTACTGACAGTTTCATTCACCTGTACTAATATTTTTCCATCATTGACTTTCTCCACTGATACCGTTCTTCCTGTCAACATTTATTTAATCAATAATTTTTCCTCTCTGTTGAAGTTTCCCTTCTCCCTTTTTATTTTACCTATTTAAAGGTGATTTGCGTCTAATGATGTGAATTTCATTTGTCAAATAGACATTAATTATTTTGTTTTAATGTATTTTTATTTTTGATAAAAATAGTTATAAGGTATTTCTTCCGCCTTCTTAGCATGCTTTCATAGTGTAGTGATCAGCATGATCAGCACGCTGAGCGCGTATTCCAGAGGTCCGTGGTTCGATTCCCAGCGAAGGCGTTGCTCATTTTTAAATTTTTTCATGCTTCCAAAAAATTCCAATGTCTCTACAGTGGCGCCCGAACTATGTCTCTACAGTGGCGTGGTGGATGATGATTCTTCACACTCAGGATTTAGCGATTGGGTCCCCTAAACCCCAGTCGAACTTTAAAAGGAGAGTATATAAGGTATTTCTCCCGCCTTCTTAACATGCTTTCGTGGTGTAGCCGTCAGCACGCTGGGCGCGTATTCTAGAGGTCCTTGGTTCGATTCCCAACGAAGGCGTTGCTTATTTTTCACATCTTTCCTGTTTCCAAAAATACCCAATGTGTCTACGTAGTATTTTGCCATTGTAATAATTATGGAATTGACATATATTTTAGTCAAGTATACATTTTAGTGAAATTTCTTAAATTAAAAAGAATTATAATAGTGGATTCTCTCAAGAAGGCGTAGGAAATCTAGTGAATGAAACAGGAATAATTAGTCGGTACAATTCTGAGAATAAAATATTATTTATTCTTAATGTAATTCCAAAATACTGTATAAATGGATAGTCACTTAAGACTGTACTGCAATTTTCACATGCTGTTGTAAAAGATTATGCTATGTCATTATTTGAGTAATTGACTGGTTAAAAATTTATTATTATCGTGCATTTCCACCTGTATTGTACTCTAAGCTCCTAGGACTATTAATCATCTCTAAAGTAAATATTTTGTATTCTTTATTAATAATTGTTATTTTCCTTCCTGTGTAAACATTAGCCTTTTTGTAGTTATGATATGAAGATTAATTTTAATTTGTTGATTCTTTTAAAATGTCTTAATTCTGGAAGCGTAGCAGAAATATTCATAATTTAAATTTTATAGGTCTTAATTCGCTAAACCTACAAAGTTTAACAAGCCAGGGAGTCAGCCCAAGCATTGGTTTGTCAAGTGCTGGTAATAGTGCTTCAGGTAGAAATCACACCTATGACCTCTCTGTTTTTAAATGTTTCCTGGATAATATTCAGGATATCAAATATAGATGTGCTTCATCCTTATTATTTAATTATGTAGTAATCTCTCTTTTTGTTTTCTTCACAGAGCTAAATAATGCTAGCTTACAAAGTGTTGCTGCTCTAGTTGGCTTGGCCAATACCTCGGGTTAGTTTCTTTTTAATTAATGCCATTTATTTTCAATAGAATTAAAATTAAGCAAGTTGATTATTCACAAACGGATTAATGTTTTGTTTTTGTGCGTATATCTCAAACCGCAAACTAAATTATATGTACTTACTCATCTTTCTGTACAAATAGGTTTAAATCCAGTTGTGATGCAGAATCTTGCTGCTCTAGCTGCTGCTGGAAATTCAGCCAATTCATCTGGTCTTAGCTTATCTACTCCTGGTAAAGTTTATACTGATGCTTCTAATCATTTCTGAATTACAATATTCATTCGTGGGAATTTTATCACTTACACATGTGTCATTTTGAAACAAACTTGGAATTAAATCAAATGTTTAGTAATATGTAAAAGATTTTAAAACATACAGGATCTGCCAATGAAATAAGCATTTTGGCAGCATTGCTTTTCCCACCTTTTCAAGTGAGTAAAAGGAAACGGCTATCGCCATTTCATACGCCTTTGAAAAGCACTTATATATCAATGGAATCGCGGACCGGTGTGCTGCTCAGGTCTAAAAAATTGCATGCAGCCTTGTGTGCTGCGTGCGTACATTTTTTGAAATAAAGGTGCATATCTGCATTTTACAATATCGTTGATAGTTATTTGTCCACAAAAATGAATTTTGAAAGAAATGTAAAGTTCATCAGAACTGAAAGTTGCCTTTGAATAATGTAATTAGGACATCGATTAGAAAATTTGAAGGGGAGTATCGGAGGAAAATCTACTGCGCATACCAATGTTGTACTTGTAGAAAAGTCCACTGAAGAAACTTCTCAGTGGTAGAACTGTTCTACCTGCTAGATCACTGAGTCTACTTGCATCCAACATGAGGAGTACTTTACAATAGCGGTTCTCAACATTTTTGACTAACGCGTACCATCTAAACAAATTTTGAAAACCTTTAGTACCACCACTACAAAGAACTACTACTACCACCACTCTTGAACAAAGCTCAGATCGCATAAATTTACGAGTGGTAGAGAAAAAACTCAACCAGGATGTTGGGGTTTTAATTTTTAATTTAATAGTTCAAAATACTTTGCTTCTTTGCGTACCACCTATTTTTCTCTTGCGTACCACTGGTACGCGTACCACCGGTTGAGGACCCCTGCTTTACAATATTTGCACATTTAATCTTTTAAAATTCAAGCTAACCGAAAGTTAAAAAAAATGTGTTGAGAAAATAGAGTACATTTTAGTTCATTATGTTGGATACCATAAACAACAAGACACATTTCCTGAGAATCATGTTATGGATGATGAGGCACATTTCCTTTTATCTTAAACTGCAAGGAACTGCAGAACTATCGATCCTATAGGAAACCTATAGGAGCATAAGAATGAAACATTTCACAGTTCAGGTACAATAGTAGGGTATGAAGTAACATTTTTCTTGTAAGACATTTTTTGTTCAAAACTAAACCTTGAAACATTTGTACAGTGAAATCTAAGCGTTGCGAAAAAATATTTGTTTCTAAATTTGCAACTCTAAATAAAATAAAATAAATAAAAGTGCATTATTTCAATAATACTATAAACCATACTATGGGTATTTCATCGGAATATATTTCTGACAATGTTTCTTGTACTCTGGCCACTGAGGTCAGCCGCTCTATTCGGTAGTGAATTTTCTTCAGGAGATACATAAGATTAAAGTCTGTAATGTAGAACACCACTCGCACTTCAGAAACCTAAATTTTCTGTAGAAAAAGAGGATGAAAGAATTCATGTGAGCATACTCCAGAAACTGTGAATAATTGCCACAGCACGTTTAAAAGGTCCTTTCAAGAAAATGTAGAGAACATAAATCTAGCATATTTTAAAAGCGCAGTTTTATTCTTCAATCTATTTTATTTCAGCAATCTAATTTATTCAAGCAAATGCTGTGATATGCATTTCCCTATGCGAGTAATATATGCCATTTATTTCAGTTTTGATAGCTTCAGTGAGCTTTCAAGATCGATCGAAAATGTTATTAAACTACCTTCAAAATATTTTCACTAAACTAGTCAGTCTAATTATTTTAGTCTTTACACTAACAAGCTGTATTACTGTTATCTTTAATTCGAACACAAAGATTTTCAATATATGTATGAAAACTTATTTGTTGGCAATATCTATAAATTATTGCCTTGTTCATACATGATTTTTTTTAATTCAATTTCAATTAATGACAGATTCTATAAAAAATGAATTTCCGGTAAAATAAATTTGTTATGTATAACAAATAGTTCAGCTAAAATTTCCTTAAAATATTGAAAGTTTATTTAAACCCAGAATGCTTTACAGCAAAATTTACTGAAGTTATCGCGGATCTTTTATTAATTAATATAATTCACTTTTTATACACATTTTGCACAAAATAGCATACGTAATGTGTAACGCGTAAGAAATATGCATAATGTGTATCGTATCATGCGTAACACATGATGTCGATGTATATAGCACCGTTCAGGTGACAGTGCGATGTAGCACAGTTCCGCCCCCCAATTTTGATGAAAAGCACCCCTGGGGGGACGGGTCCGAGGGTCCCCCCTTTTCCTTCCACCAAACCACACGAGAGGACTTTCGGTTCACCCCATATTTAGAGTGCCGCCATACCGCACCGACACTATACATTTACAAACATCCATGCCTTCTCGGGGATTCGACCCCGGGCCCTTCGGCACGGCAGTCAGCGATGCTAACCACTATACTATTTGGGCGGCTACACATCATGCGTAATGTTATAAGGTATTTCTCCCACTTTCCTAGCGTAGTGTAGTGGTTCTGCACGCTGGGCCGTTATTCCAGAGGTCCTTAGTTCGATTTCCGGGCAAGGCGGTTGCTAATTTTTCATCTCTCCGGCCTCCAAAATTATCCTAATGTCTCTAGAATGTGTAATATGTAATCATGCGTAAGAAAACTAACTTCTAACTTCAAGCATTTTTTACTAATTCAAGGAAAAATACGTAGTAATATTAATAACACATACTTACAGCTATTAATAATAATGGATTGTTCTAGCAACATAAAGTTCGTTATTATAATTCATTTAAATTTTTCATACCTTCAGGGTAAGAAACATGAAGTTTTATAGTCAAATGCGTGACAGAGTGTCCTGGAACTATATCGCCTGATATCACTTTATGGGCTAAGATAAGCAAAACACATCTTGTGAATACATAATTTATAAACGCTAATACAACACAGGCTGTAATAGAACAGCCGATGTGAAATGCTCTCGGGATTGCTCCATTAGGACCATAACGGGAACACCAGTGTGTAGAGTCGTAATGCTATTTAAATCTGCAATATGCTGATATGAATTTTATTTACGGACCTGTGAACGTCAGGTTGAAGAAAACACAGCTTCTATACTAAAGAGCATATCCTTAGAAAAATGTCCGGACAGAACCACATACCAATAGTTCTATCAGCGACTAGGTGTAATAGATTGCTTTCCGGTTATGGTGTAGTGTGGTGGTGTATTTAATTATGGCAAAGCACACGAGGGCTATCTGCCTAAGGGGAGGGGTGCCTTCGTGGAGGACTTTCTAAGGGAAACTGGCTCGTATACACGTTACACATGGGGAAAACCACGAAAACTTTTCCGATTATGGACATAGATTATGGACAACGAACATTGTTCTTACAAAGTAAGGAAGATTCTAGAAGAAGCATCAGACTAGTGACAGCCGACGTCTGTTGCAAATGTGGAGAAGAGTATACCTATTCCTATTTGTGTAACATATACAGGTTTTGGCAACGGCTGATTACCCAGTGCGGATAACATATGCACAATGGCTATTGTGAAAAATGAGAAGAATTCTCCCATTTGTGGCTGTTATCAAAGCGCAGTGTTAGCAGGATGATAACATTTACTTTCAGAATATGCATCGCTGGCAGTCAATCAGTTCTCATATCATGGTCCGAAGTCGACATCGAGCATATGTCTAACTAAATGTATGGTTGGTATCAATGATTGTGGACTGTACTTCATACCCTGCTACTGCTAGTAGCTTGGCGTTTTGATACCTGAAATACCAGTGCTATTGGAAGATGTACCTGTAGCCACACGTCAACAGATGACCTACTTCATGCATGAAAAAGCAGTAGAACATTTAAGTGGAATAATTCAGCACATCTTATTCACAAATACGGCGTTAGATAGTTTGAAATTCCTTCTACAAGGCATGCCTGATCTAACCCCCACTTCCGAATCCACTGGAATTTGGTTTCTTTCCGGGGAATAAGAAGGCTTAAATATTATGTTCTTCCCTTGACTAAATCAATTCCACTCTAATAGTTTCCACATGGGACGAAGGAACTCCAGCAGCTAAATGGGGACGCTGTTATGCATATCCGCAGCATGGATTGACTTTAAAAACTTGTACAATAGCATTCGTCTGAAGTAAGATGGCTGTTCCGCTTGTATCGCTGCTGGTGGCATGCATTTCATATCCTTATTGTATTTCCAATCAGTATATCGTTCGTCCTGTAACTCATTTCATTGTATTCTGTGCTGAAGATACTTCTACATGTTGCATTGTCTTTCTGGTCTCGTAACTCGTGAACCACGCATTTCCCTTTATATATTCATATCATATATCCCATTAAACATTATCAGCAAAACACCCATGCTGGGCTTTACAGAAATGAAACGGCAGACAGTTTAGTCAAAGAAGCATCTTCAGGCAATGCAGATACTCAGGTCAATATCCCATGGCCCATTTCTTATCTAAAGAAATGCCTGAGATTGAAGGCTATTGGACGGTGGCAAGAGGAATGGAACCAGGGCTCAACCGGTCGACGAACGCAGTATCACATAGCGTATGTGGGCACTGACCGTATCATTTCCAACCCTCAGCTCGTCCGATTTATCACTGGCCATGGTCCATTTCCGCAATATTTTGCAAAACGCGGACTCAGCCATACTGAGTTCTGCTGCTGCGGAGATATTGGCTTCCAGAGCATTACCTGACCACTTGTCCATTTACAACTACTGATCTTCATATTCAGCTGCAAAGTACCAACTGGCAGGCCTTTTGCAAATTTATCATAAAGTAGAGATATCTGATTTCAAAGATTGTCAATTTAATGGACAAACTGTCTGCGCTGAGCATGGACTTATGTCAGACAGCGTAAATTTTCCTGCTGTCATAAACGTATGCTCCGTATAGATTAAATTCAAATTTGTATCAGTAATATAACAGTATTACACCAGCAAAGTATTGTACCAGTATTAATCAGTATTGTGTCAGTATTAATACCAGCAAAGTATTGTATCAGTACTGTACTAGTTAAATATTGTATATGCATATTTGTATAAGTAATGTAACAGTCGTATATGAGTAAAGTATTGTATCGGTGTATCAGTATTATATCAGTCTTGTATGAGTAGTGTATCAGTCATATTTGCATCAGTAATATACCGGTAATGTGTCAATAATGCATATGTGATGTGTTAATTCGCAATAGCTTGAGTCTTTGTAACATGTTATTCAGTGGTTTTATTTACCGAGTTGTACAAAATCATTCCAATTTACAATTAATCAGTATTGTATGAGTAATTATACCAGTAAAGTATTGTATGAATATTAATATCAATAAAGTATTGTATATGCATATTGCATGAGCAATATAACAGTCCTACATCAGTAAAAGTATTGTATCAGTATTATATCAGTAGTGTATCAGTTATATTTCATCAGTAATGCACAAGTAATGTAACAGTAGAACATTGATCTGTGATATTTTAATTCATAATATTTTGAGTCTCTGTAACGTATTATTTCGTGGATTTATTTACCGACGTGCAAAATCATTCCCATTTAATAAGTATTAATAATCAGTGTTATATCAATGAATTAGTACTGTAGCAGTATTAATCAGTATTAATATCAGTATCAGTATTATATCAGCCTTGTTTCAATTCTGCATCAGTCATATTTCCATCAGTAATGTACCAGTAATGTATCTTGAATATTAATCTGTAACTCTGTAACATGTTATTTTCTATGTCCTGTCGTGCACGTTGAACACCTTTCAGGTGGCATTATGTATTTTGAAGGGATGCTATAGATAGTGGTGGACATGGTGCTATACTGATTAACCGTTTGGTAAAGGGATAGTGCCCACGTCCTCCATTCTCTCTCTCTCACACGTTCTAGGACGCAGAACTTGAGAGAAGCGAAATCACCAGTTGTAGTTTTCTACATTAGCTGTGGATCTGGTATAAAAAGTCACAAGCTTCTAGGAAGCCCCTGTTGTAGTTTCTTTTGTAATTAATTATGCAGAAAGTACTAAGACGTCGTTTGTGTGATAATTAATTACCACAGAATATTTTTCTGTGTTAAATAATGATATAATTAATTACTATAGAAACCATAAAAAACATAACGTCCTATCGGCTAATTAGGAAGGTCACAAAATGCTAATATTTTAATCAGAGCTGCTATTTGAACCACTGCAACCGGTGCGGCCGCACTGGGCGGCAAAGATTTTGGAATTTAGCGAAACACCGAGCAATAAAATAGGTATGGATGAATTTATAGAATTTAAAGAAGGCATTGGGCAACAAAATCAAGAGGCAGCAAAATCTGTAGACTTTAGGGAGGCACCTAGCAGCAGAATTTATGACATGAAAAAATTGCATCAGGCGGCTAAATGTCTAGCGCTGGCCCCGATTTTAATGTTTCTTAAGGTTTGTTTAATCAAGTACATTTAAGCATTTGATAGCTATCTACCAAAGAAAAAGAATACCTTCATAGAGGATTTTGTAAACTAAACTGGCTAATGTTACTTAAAAACAACCAAAACTCCCATGCAACCAGTCCGTTTGGTGGTCTTTAACTCGGATCGAAATATTAATGTTTAGCAATCTTATCCACACTGTTTCTGGTGGACTCTGTAAAATTATTTTGTGAGAAACAGTTTATGATTAAAACATTAGTTGCATAGTGGAGCCACGTTATTAAATCTTATTCAGTTCAAAATAAAAATCAGTATGAAACTAAAATTTTAAATTAAATAATCAGTTTTACACTTCAAAAAATAAAATTTCATTTTATAATTTTATTTTATCTCAATATATTATCATTCATAATTTGTGATGATACTGATAATGCAAAAATATGATCATTAATTTTCAGGTAACAACTCTAGTACAAGCTCATCTCTGAGCGGTATAAACTCTATGAGCCCAGTTACAAGTATGACTTTAGGACTGTCAAATTCATCTATAGGAAACTTGTCTGGTGTAAACGGGTAAATACATATTATTCTTCATTATTAAAAGAATTAAGAAAGTATTCTTATTGAATATAAAATATTGCACTGTTGTTAGTTTTAGTTACTTATATTTTTTTTTTGAATGTTAAAGAAAAATAATATTTTTCTTGAATGTACTTATATTTTTCTTGAATGTTTTTGTAACCAAAATTAGCATAAAACGCAATTTCGCAGTCACACCACAACGCTTTAAGAAGGGGGGAACGCCGGACCTATGCATCAATTCAATAGTTCGCAAGCATCGTTAGTTCCATGTAATCCAAGATAGCCAAAGCGGAAAGCATAAGCGGAAGAAACTATTTGAACCATGAGATGCATTCGAAAAATGTGGGGATGCTGCAAGCTGGTGCAAGATAATCCGCTGTTGCAAGAGTACTAAATGTGCATCGTAGAGTCATAAATAGGCTGGAATCGTTACCAAAGGGATCAAAATCCTTGTAGAAGACGAGGATCTGAACGCCGGAGGATTACCATAACGGCAAACGATCGCCTCCTATTGCTATGTGCAAGACCCCGTAAATCGCTAACAGCACGACAGCTGGCGTCGCATCCCTCTGCTGCTGCAAGATGGCCTGTTTCCCGCCAAACTGTGTCACGTCGACTGCATGATGGTCGTCGACTGCATCACGTCGACTGCCCGACAACCTGTGTTTTGTCTCCATCTCATGTCAGAACGCGGTTGAATTAAGTCCGTAAATATAGTATTTGGGCCACGTACTCTTTACGAATGAGTCTCGATTTAACATCCCGAAGGGAATGATATAGCGAGAGACAAGGACACGCTATCGGGCGCCAAACGTCGTCAAAGATACCACTGCAGAGGAGAAGGCTTGTTTGTTGTCGTTGTTGATAATGTCTTGTCTGACATATAGCCACTTAAAGCCCTCGAAATTCCTCGTGGCAAGGAGCGCAAGTTTTACGCTTCTCGTCGGTAACAACCTTAAGCACCTTACAGGTGGCTGTGCGATTTAGCTCAGTTCCGCCCCCCAATTTTTATGTAGAGCAACACAGGAGGACTGGTCCGAGCGTCCTTCCACTCCTTTTTCCCTATCAACAACCTCTCGAGGGAACTTTCGGCTCTACGCATATTTGGAGTGCCCTCATGCCGCACGGACACTATACATTTATAAGCATCCATGCCTTCTCCGAGGTTCGAACGGGGCCTTCGGCACGGCAGTCAGCGACGCTAACCATTATACCGGTTGGACGGCAGGCTTACTTCTATGGGGTGGGATAGCAACGAACGGCGGCACCGACCTCTATGTGATTCCTGGTGGTTCCGTCACAGCCTTCCGATATTGCGACGAACTTCTACACCATCTTATGTGTCCTTTTATCGCTGCAGTGTCTACCGACGCGATATTTATGGACGATAACGCCTGCCCACATTGAGGTCGAGTAGTGCGGAATTATCTGAAAAATCGTTCCACATCTTCCGTGGCCTGCTAGATAACCGGACCTTAATTCCATATAGAATGTGTGAGACTTGTTGGGATGACGGATAGCAGGTCACAGTGTGCCGTCAGGCCGGCTCCACGAGCTCCAACACGCATTACTACAGGAATGGGCTTTACTGCCACATTTTAGCTATATAATATCATACCGGTTATTAGCGTGATTTTTCCATTGTATGCTCTTTCGAAACATTTGATCTTTCGCGATCTGGTGGTTCGTAAAACATGTGTTTTTGTATACCTTTGCTTTATTGTTTACTATGTGGTCTAGTACTGCCACACCAACCTCTTGGAAAAATTTCACGCATATCCATTAAATAGTTTCTGTTTTATTCTGTGTTTTGCCTTTGCTGCTTTTTTTTATCAGGAGTGTAATTGTATTTAAATAATAGTGTCTTCAAAATATCTATTTTTAACAAATGGACATGGCGAACAGAAAGAAACGGAAAAATCTTTATTTATGGCATAATGTTCAGAAGTATCTGTATTTGATTGTTCATAAGCTATTTTTACAATATTTTTAAGAGCTGTGTCAGAAATTTAACTGGGGATATTTGGAGGAGCATTTAAAATTAGATTGTGTTAACTAACTTTTCAGATTAAATTTTAATCAATGTTTTAACCTAGTTATTAATTATTTTATATGACTCAAAGACTATTTTTTCTCTAATTTATTTGGTTTCCATTTACAGTATTCAACTTATTAATTTAATTATGGTAAATCAAGTGTGTAGTTGAATTATAGAAAACACAACATAGATAGAAGATAAGAATTAAAAGTTATTTACAGGCCTTTAAAATTTTCAGCGTTTTGGGGCAATTTTTTTGCATCGTTAAATGTTTATTTATCGATGTTCTAATTGTATTTGGTCATCTAAAGAGTTCTATGGTTCTGATGATAAATACAAATGAAGCAGTACAGAAACATAAGAAATTTCCATTGAATCACAGGAACGCCATTATATTCTATGATTTTTTTCCCATCTCTAAAGCAGCTGGATATTTTTTTTAAGTCATTAGATTTATTCGTACAGATGTGAGCTTTATGCTGTTTTACAGTTTCCAAAGAAGTAAACTCGAGGCCGTTCAGAGAATTCTAACGCACTTGAAGAGATGAAAATCCAGGAGGTCAATACGGGAAGAGAGTGACACAAAACTTGTCAGCCATAATTAATGAGCTTTCTGTCTGATATTCATCGAAATGTGGTTATCATGGTAACCATGGTTGGCATTGTTATCATGGAAGACAAAACCTGGAAGATTGGTCATTTCTGGGATTTTTATTTTCATTTCTGTTTCTAAAACTCTCATTTGGGAACATTATTTTTCCAAATTTATTATCTAATTTGGTGGCAGTAATTCGTAATATATAATTCCTCTATAGTCCCACCATACGATAAGTATTGCAGTTTTGACATTCACCGGCCGCCTCTCGACGTCACTAAAAAAAGGTTCTTTTGGCTTACTCTATGATGTTTTAGTTGAAGCATTATTGCATAGTATCCACTTTTCATCTCTAGCAACAAAATATTTAAAAAAGCAGCCTCTTTATTTTTTTCAGCGAAGAATCACACACCAGAATTCCAGAAAGCATATTCTGCTATGTTAAAGTATGGGGTACCGTACTTATCATAGCAGCTTACATACCCAATCTTTTTCAGATGATTTTTGCACATTTTAGAATATTTTTTCTGGCCAATAGTTTCTGAACTGTATAATTTAGATTTTCAGCAACAGCTGCTTTTAATAAGTTCTTGTTTACAGAATATGGTTGTACAGATCAGTTTAGCTCATCAAAGATAAAATTTTCACTCTTAAATTTCCCAAATCTTCTTCGAACTGTGTCATCAAATACAAGTGTTTTTCAATTTAAAGCTCAAATTTTCCGAGCAGTCTGAATAGCATTTTTTTAATTAAAGAGCATAATATGACAAATATGAACTTTTGGGTTCTTCATTCTTAAAAATATGCTACAACACATGCAGTTTCAGCAGAAAAGATCGTATTTAACGACCTTCTTCAATTAAGATCACTCTATATTAGCAGTAACAAAATAATTAGTAGAAAGTGTGTTTCAATTTGAAAAACCTCAGGACGTTTAATGACCAAAGGGTTTTATACTAATGTTTATCTCATGCTACATTTCTGCAATACCCAAGAGTTTTATACTAATGTCTATCTCATCCTACATTTCTGCAATAGGATCGGAAGCAAATCTGCTATTGCTGCAAATGGAGCTTCACTGGATGCTTTAACACAGGCATATTCAAGCATACAGCCATATTCTGGTTAGTATCAGTTATATTATTTTGAAATGTTGATATAAAAGTCTATTTACTACTAGGTGGATGAATAGTATTTTTAATTAGACTCGCACTTTAAATATCAGGTCCTGAATTCAATTACTAGATTTTGATGCAAAATGAAAGCAAATAGTTGCAAAGAATACTCTAATTGAAACATCTGGTGATGTGGACACTAACATTAAGAGAATTTCAAAATAATCATCAGAATGTTTGTCGAATGTCGAGCAAGGTATAAGAGACTGCAAAGACTTCTTTAACGAAACAGACATTTTATACTACTGTTTTCTTTTTCTTTTTTTAAAAATATTCTGCTGAGCTCTAGTTACTATCATTTTCATAAATTCCAATGCATTAATTCATTTTCTTGTTGTTGTTAATAATGCATTCGACCTTAGTAATTGATAACCTGAATTAGGGTCTTCAAGATATGTGTTTATTATATTCCCTGAATTAATACAAATTGAAAAATTCTTTGTCAATGTTTTCTGTATTGAAAATTTAAGAACCAAAATGTTCTTTCGTTCATCTGTTGTATTTCAGTATTAATTTTATGAATATCTATTCCTTCTCATAGAAGCAACGTATGATTTATATAAGTGTTATGATAGGATATTATATTAGGTCTTCGTGACTAAACTTATTTTCAACAAAACATGAATTAAATATCTTATATAAAACTATCTCTGCATTTTAAAGCATGAATCATTTTATATTATTCAAGAAATCTTATGATTCTTTCTGTCAGTCTGGATTCATAATTGCATCATGTTAGTTCATGGGCTCCCACCTCTATGCCCGAGGGCAATTTGGCGCCCAAGAATGTTTAACGTGTGCCCACCGCTGTGCAATCACAATAAAAATATTTTAATTTTCAATAAAATTCTACGTGAGTTTTTTCATATTTAATGAAATAGAAATTGCGTCCAACACAGATACCAGCACAAAGCGAAATGCAACCGATCTCTGTTTTTTTTTTTTTTATGTGCATGCATTATTAACTCTATCCAACTATAAATTCACCATGAAAAGTAAATGCTGCCACAGATATTCTAGGATTAAAAAGCTTGGGAACCCATGTTCCAGTTAGTTTCTGAATATCAGATTTCGTGTTTTGTTTATAATTTTTCATCTTTTTTATAGCTATCCCATTTGCCCAGATAGGTCTTCAGTCACCAAGTCCAGCTGGAAAACAAATAGAAGGTAAATAATTTTGCAGAAGAAAAATTTATTATAGCGCAATTATTCTTGCCTATTACACATATATTGTTCTACTTCTAAAATATATTATAAAAGTTATCAGTAAAAGTCAAGTACTTAGGATTCTTTACTTCTATGCATTGAAAAATTAATTTGTTAGTAAATAGTACTACGAAAATCTGCAGAATAATCAAGTGATTTTGTTTATATTCCAATTTATACTTTACATACATATGCTACGTTAAGCAGTTCTGTAAAGTTTTGCTTTATTCGGTAGGTGTGTCTCTACAACACCATTCACTTCTTTAAATCAAATTTTAGAAGTATTCAATTTCATAACAAACATAGGCATTCATATGAGGATGCTAAAGATAGCAAATATTTTACCTTTTTGAACTAAAATTATTATTTTCAGTGCTTCATCCCTAGGATTTAGAAAAAATTCTTTTGATAACTATGCTAAACATTGTTTTAATATTAAAGAATTTGATTTTGTTTACTGAAGTACGTTATTAAATTTTAATATATTTCTTCATTATTAAAGGATCATCTCTGTTCCCAAATACGAATGGCTAAATGATTAATGCTATATTAATCATTTAGCCATTCGTGTATTCCTTTTGATCTCATTTCATCAATGAAGTCCAACATTCTGTAACTCATTAATATTAGGAAAATATGTGTAGTTATTTTATCTGTGTTTGGTTCTGGCAAAATTTTATATAGGATGAATTGATTTACTATGCAGCCTTCTATAGCATAATGTCTTTGCAGTATACATCTGCTCATGCAAGCAGCTATTACACTAATAAAATGTGGTTGCATACAATTTTATATAGTTGCATACAACTGCATTTCTGTGCGGCACTATTTCTTCAGAGTGTGCAGCACAATTATTTATACATTTACATTAAAATATTATGCATTTATTCTGCTTTTATATTGAAAGACTGATGTGAAAGGAAAGTCTTAAATCTCATTTCGAATACGCTGTTGCTTTTAGGAGGAGAAAAACAGCAGAATGCTGAGGTAGGAAATTATCCTTCCTTCACTAAAAAATATAATTATTCTGTGTAAATGGAAGATATGGTCGTCAGTTTAAAATAGTACATTATTTGTATCAATATTAGCATTTTGATCTCATAATATTGTGGAGTTGTTTATTTACAACATTAGTATTTTCTTCACATTATGAAATCCCAGGTAATATTTCATATTTCCTTTATTTTATTTGGGCAGTACCTCTCTGGACATCACATATTCAATTATTTCAGGAATTTATAATATAAAAAATACTTTGTTGAATTGTAGATTTCGGCGTTATATATTTTTTTATATAAATCATCCTTATACGGTATGTATCTTAGAAAATTCTTCTGTGCCCATTTATGGTGCTTATACCCTCTCTCTTTTATTCGACGATGTTTCTTCAACAAAACATTTTCAGTGACATACTGGTAAATCTTAAATGTTTCGTATTTCTAATTTTTTTGTTCGTGAAGGGAACATCGTTGGCTACAATCATTTGTATTTTTTCTTCTGATATTTTTTTTAATTCATGAATTTTGCTGTCTACTTTTTTCTTCCCTTTAGCAGCTAAGCATTTAATTAATAACAATGATCAAAGTATAGCTTACAGAATTTGCAGCGGCCATCCGCGGCCAAAAACTACAGATTAACAGGTAAGAATTACCGAAAGCTCACTGGTGATGTTTTATCACCAAAACAGTTATAAAAAAATGTGATTCAGTATAATAGATAAGTACCATGAGTACTCTTGAATCATGTGCCTGAATACAGAGCCGGTGCAACTGGTGCGGCAGGATGTAGGTGCAGCAAAATGTTTAGAATTTAGGAGGGCACTGGATGGCAGAATTTATAAACTGCAGAGAATGACCCCTGTGGCAAAAAGACTAGCGTAAACCCTGCTTGAGTAATTTTGTATCAGTTATAATCACTACTATATAAATCATAAATAATTTTGCTAATTCAGGGACTTATATGGTTCTGTATCATTCCCACCCCAGTCATCAGTCATCTTAGAACACAAAGCATAGTTTTACTGGTTTCTTTCTCATATGCTGCTATATTTTTACTGCTTTGTAATTACATATTATATTTTCCATTCATGCTACCGACTTCAGTGTAGTAAATACACCAGGAATATTTTTGTATCTTATCACATATGATTTTTCAAGACTAAACTATCAATTTTATATGTTTTATTGTTATATTTTTATATATTTATCTAAAAATTTTCTTATTATTTGTGTTGCTATATTTTCTTCTTACTTGCTTTACTATACAAATCTTCCTGTTGCTATATTTTTGTATTTTTGTAGTATATTTATCCCTATTATTATAATATTGCAGTTTTGTGCCTCATAATAGGAAATTCACATACTTTAACACTGTAAATTATGTTTTTTTTCATAAAATATAATTTAATACAGAAAGTCATTGTTCTTTGTGTCTTTCTATCATTATGTCAGGCGTTCATTTATTAATTTGTTTGTGAGTGCTTTGCGTTGTTGGTTTTCAATTATTTTTTCCTTTCCTCCATTTTGTACTGTTCACAAAAATGGCTGAATCATAAATTCTGTTTGTTTACCTTTGTAAATTTTCCAAGTTTCCATATAAATGCGGTAGAAAACTGCAGTTTGGAAAAATGGTTTCCAGAAAAGGGGTAAGTTAAAAATCATAAATGACGCACAGATTTATGACTACAAAAGAAACTTATGAGCAAATTTTAGATACAATTTCACTAATAAGCAGGAACTTTTCATGATGAGGTCTGTAATCAGAGATTTTTTGAGGTAGGATATTGCATGTTTATATTGTTTCAATGAAATGAATGCCATTGTTTTGCAGTCCGTTTGGTAACAGATGGTTCATGATGAAACACTAAAATATGAATAAGAGTAGCTTTATGGCACTTTAGCTGTGGATTTGCTTTTAGGTTGTAGTGTCCAGGTGGTTAAACCTCTATCTGGATACAGGAGTAGCAGGAAACTACACAGAAGAAGGGTTCAAACCCTTTATTAACTCTTTAAAATTTACACTGTGTCAACTTGACACTAACAAACTTCGCCTCTACAGTGGTGGCCAAAATTGTGGACACTTTTGAAAATTTGTATGTTTTTGAACTTTGTATGCTTATAGAAAATGTTACGTTTTGCAAAATGCAAACTTGTATATAACATTTTAAAGAGAATTTATTACTGAATTCAATACAAAACACAAAATTCAATTATTTGCAATACAAAAAAGTTATATGTACTTTAATATAAATAAAAAACACAGTTATGAAGTGGTTTGTAATGTCTAGCTTTCCTAGCCAATCACTGTTCTTGTTCTGAGAACCAGTCAAATGTTAGTAACTGCCAGTAGAAGCTGACATCATGTTTACACTTGAAACAATTCATTATTTTGCTTTGTTCTGTAGAAGGAGGACCTGTTTCTTATACACTGCAATTACAAGTAGGAATTTTTGTAAAATTTTTTAATATTTAGTCAAGAAGCAATAACATCAAATAAAAGAGTAGATTGGACACCAAGAAAGAGATGTAATATTATTGTGTTACGAGAAAGTGGTCTTTCCTATGCTGAAATTGCAAGACAGGTGGGTGGTTCAGTGACTGCATCTGGAGTCCGAAAGTTTTGTTTACGATATCAGGAGACAAGTTCAATAAAAAACAAATAAGAAAAAGGCCGAAAAAGGTGCACCACATCTATTGATGACAGAAGAATAAAAAGACTATGTCTCCAAGATAGAAAAATGTCATCAGCGGCCATCAGAAGTGATCTGAATGATGCTGGTGTTTCTGTCAGTTCAAGAACAACCAAGAGAAGATTAACAGAATGTTGGACTGAGAGGTAGAATTCCACGAAAAAAATGCCTTATCTTAATTTTCAGCAGCGGAAAAAAAGACTACAGTGGGCAAAGGAACACATTAATTGGACTGATGATCAGTGGTCACATGTTGTATGGAGTGATGAAACTAAGATATCGTTATTCGGTAGTGATGGACGAAAATATGTAAGACGTAGAATAGGAGAAGAGCTACATCCTGACTGCATTCAAGCAACTGTGAAGAACCCAGTTAGTGTTATGATTTGGTCATACATGTCAGCAGATGGTATTGGTCGCCTTCATGTCACATGTCATCGATGGGACACTGAATGCCAGAAAATACATTGACACTATTCTAGAACCAAAACTTCTACCTTCCATCAGAGATCTCTTTCCCAACAATGCTTAGTTTATTTTTCAGCAGGATTCTGCTCCTTGCCACACGGCCAAAATATCGAAAGAGTGGTTTCGTACAAAGAGCATTAAATTATTGTCATGGCAGGAAAACAGTCCTGACCTCAATCCTATTGAAAATTTGTGGCAAAGTTTGAAAACTCTAGTCCGAATGAGGCGCCCATCAAATAAAAGGGAACTAATTGAGGCTATAATTGTTTCCTGGCATCATGTAATAACGAAAGAAGAGCTTAAAACTCTTGTCAGTTCAATGAAACGTCGATGTGAAGCTGTAATAAAAAATAAAGGGTACCCTACTAAGTACTGATAACATATAAGCATACAAAGTTCAAAAACATAAAAATTTCCAAAAGTGTCCACAATTTTGGCCACCACTGTACTTGGGCGGTAACTGAAAAGCAGGTAATTGAAAATGAAAAGTTGAAATATTTAACAAGTGCTAAACTAATCTACAGGGCTCTGCGAGATACTGACTTTCTACCCCCTCTATAACTAGTGGCAGCAGATAAATGCATTTAAGCCACTTGAACCAGCGATTAGCAATTGTACCTACGGCAGATGCGGCTGCTCGAACCCAACTCTCTCACTTCCCTTCTAAAACCTTGGTATTTAAACTTTCCTCCTCAAAGTAGAATTTGCATTCTTCCACGCGCGCTACCAAAGTTAACTATTCTGGAACTGACGATTAGGGGAATGAAGGCTTATAGGAAAGTCTGAACTAAAATTTAAATTATTA